GATGGACGCTTATTGGCTGTCGATACATCACACTTCGCCGAAAACAAGGTTCTAAAGTAGAAAAAGACATACCTACGCGAGCCATTGATTAGTTGACAGACGCTCACCCGATTAAAATTACACTAGTAATTAATGAAAGAAAGTAATTACCATAGATCACACCAGCCCATAAGAAAAACACCCATTGGCTGATTATATGAAGGGGACAAGATGAGTGGAGCTGCCCAATAAACTCGCCCCTCGGGGCAAAATTAAAAAAAAAAAATCTCAAAAGGGATAGAGTAGCTTAGGCTATTTCTACCCTCCTATGAAGAGGGGACCTTCGACAAGCCGCGGCTTCCTGTCCTCGTCAAGGCCACTAGGGTTAGTGGCTAAGGAAGACTGATCAATTCACGATATGGAAGACTGATCAATTCACGATATGGAAGACTGATCAATTCACGATATGGAACACTGATCAATTCACGATATGGAAGACTGATCAACTATAATCATGGACTTTAGAGTTTAAGAGCAAGAGGTGTAGATACGTGAGGATGGGGTGTGCACCTGGGGCCAGGTACTGGAACCGGTTACGTTAACCAACGGCCATATGTGTGGTGTTGGGTGTGTTTGTATGTACCTCATATGTACTTCATATGTATCTCATGTGCTACCGTTGTCAGGATTACGCCCGGAGCACCGTTACCTGGTGGTGCCTCCTGGGTGCTTCATTACGTCCTTGGCCACCACAAACAACGGAGATACATCATACATAAACACACAACACATGATGATGTATACCTCACCAACATACACAACCAGATGAGTGGGAGGATAGGCAGAGCGCAGCCCCATTCTCTTGATTTACCACAACGTACAGCATCCTAAACCAGGAATGTAAGAGCCCAAAGAACCCACCTAACCTAACCTAACCTAACCTACCCAGGTATAGAAAACGTGGATATTTGCAGCCCCGTTACTTTCATAGCAATTTGTAATATCTACGTTACAAATCACTGGACGTACCAGCAAGTAAACCTCTACGTCACACTAATCAGTCAATTTCAGAAATTCATGCTCTGTAACTTTCAAGATTTCAAGGTTTGTCCATCACTTGAAACTCCAGTGGGTTACTTACCTATAATAAATACATCCCACACTTGATGGTACTGTATTGGTTTATTAGTGGTGGGGGTTGGGAGGTGTGGGGCCCCTCAATGGGGGGAGGGGGTTCAGGGGGAACAAAAAGGCTACTAGGAACAAAAAGTTCCAAGTAGCACGGGCTATGGAGAGCCCGGGGGTTGTCGAGATCTACGTTATATATATACTACCTCCCTCTGTCGGCAGGTATGAAAAGTGTTTGTGATTTTTTATTGTAAATAAATTCCCATGTAATATTTGTAAACAAAAAAAAACAATTTTAGTTCATAAATCGACTCGGGGTTGTAATATATACGGGTTGCACAAGAACGAACCACTCAGTAAACTTGTGTTTAAAACTAGACAACAGTGAATGGAACAATAGTCAACTCTAGATGAAGTAAGATAAAAAAAATATGGAATATTAAAGTTTATGATGTTCCTCTTAACTGTTAATTTTGCATTATTCGAGAAAATAAATAAATAAATAAATAAATAAATAAATAAATAAATAAATATATATATATATATATATATATATATATATATATATATATATATATATGTAGAAATAACATGTCGTGGACGATTTTCTCTATATACTATCGCAGAAATATTTCTCGATATAATGTGACATTCTACAGTAATAATATAACCTGTGGATATACCAGACAAGGAAGGCAGGCCCCGAGCATATTACTAATACCTCCCACACACAGTATACAAACTAGACGGATTATATACTTATATACACACACACATATATATATATATATATACAGTCTCACTACTTACCGTCGCCAGTTGTACAAACCAGTACCCACTCTACGCTAAGGGGTCCTTTTAACAAGTATACTCTGTACTACCATGCACAGCAAGCCAAGTTGTGAATGTGCACATAGAACAAGTTGTTATACCAGGCACAGGAGGCAAGTTGGCACAAGGAGCCGTGACACAAGTGAGGAGAACACGATGTGTTTGTGTCACGCTCACCACCGGCCTGTCACATGGGTGGTGTTGAGAGAGAGAGAGAGAGAGAGAGAGAGAGAGAGAGAGAGAGAGAGAGAGAGAGAGAGAGAGAGAGAGAGAGAGAGAGAGAGAGAGAGAGAGAGAGAGAGAGAGAGAGAGAGACACGGCCAGAGTCCACACACTGATAGTGTAAAGTAACAAGGAAGATCCATCCAGATGAGGAAAATCATGCAAGAAAACTGACGGTCTTTCCAATTTACGAGGAAGTTAGAGGAGAGGGGAAGACCCCGCACTCCTCCACACCTTCCTGCAGAAGTCCAGCAGCTGAGGGTGCCCACTTCTACCAGGATGCCATACTTTACACTTATGGTTCGCTTACATGCTTGTCATACTGGGCGTCTAAGTTATGCTGGGGGGAGGGGGGGTTTATTCCTTAAGTAATTTGCTATTTATTGTTGGCCAAGAGACCATATTAAATTTGGATTTAATTTAACAATATTTATAAAGTTAGAAAACAAAAAATGTGGGAGAGTGGTGTATTTTTCCTTTACTATACAGGAAAGGTTTCTGCGAGACTGAGAGGGAAACGTTGTCAACAAATAATGTCTCATGTATGTGTCTATAGATTATAACCGTCATCGTCCTGATATCTTATCACTAATAAATCATAAATATATAATTCAGGAAGTTGTATCATAGTATAAACAACTTACGAGGAGAGGGACCTCGTAAGTCACATCTTAGCTCTCTGAACGTTCGAATGTGTAATATGATGTTCATTATTTACGATAATATAAAAATTAATGGTTTTACGTGCTGTGTTTCCTCAACCTATACTACCCCGTCGTGGCGTTAGCAAGGTCAGGATCCACCAAACATTTACCTAACCACTTGCGAAACCAGTACATCTTTCAACAATTATGGCGGTTTTGTGTGTATTTATTAAACAGCTTATGCCCTCCGAAGCACTGAGGTTGTTTCAATGATAACAGCCTTGAATTGTGAAGATTTGAAACTCATAAACTGTTGAAAAACGTCCATTTTCACGGGAGTGACGTTAGCTGCTGTTAAGAGCAGCCACACCAGGGGCTTCTTTGTTGTGTTCAGGGTCCCTGAGCGTGTTCAGGGTCCCTGAGCGTGTTCAGGGTCCCTGAGCGTGTTCAGGGTCCCTGAGCGTGTTCAGGGTCCCTGAGCGTGTTCAGGGTCCCTGAGCGTGTTCTGGCACTGACAATCAGAGTGTGCCTGGCACCCGTGACCTCTTGGAGTAGTTAATTGAAATATCTACATCTACTTTAACCGAGGAGTAGAATTATCTTGTTATTGTATACAAAGATGGTAGATGCTTCACAACCAGGAGTTCCAGGGTTCGATTCTCGCGGTAGGACACGAGCTGTTTAGGCACCTTTCCTTTAACCTGATGCCTCTGTTCCCTTGGCAGTCAATAGGTATCGAGGAGCTAGGCGATTGTTGTGGCTTGCATCCTTGGGTAACTCGCCGGTCAAAAGGGGGACCTTGATAAGCCTAACAGGATTCCTGTCAAAGAATCAATTATTTTTTTTAGAAATCATGAATTGTTAGAGTACAATTATTCAACAATCATCAGCCGGAAATCTTCGATACAGTAACAAATACTTTGTAATGATTTTTCACATTTAAATCTATAATTCCGAAATAAAAATCTCATGGAGTACTATAATTTTCTTTTTATTATTTAATAATTGTATGCAATTTTTTTTATACAATTTCGCAGCGAAAGGGTTAATGAGCTGTGGAAACCGAGCGGATCATCACATGTGGAAATTTGTTAAAAAGACTTTTTGAGTATCTTTTTTACTTTTTAATGGTGGCACTCCCATTACTTTTGTGGTGCTGTCTTGACACACGAGTGTGTCGAGGCCCTCACATCACCTGAGTACATTGCAGGTGATGAGTGACAATAACGTGGCTAAAGTATGTTGACTAGACCACACACTAGAAGGTGAAGGAACGATGACGTTTCGGTCCGTCCTGGACCATTCACAATCAACTTGAGGATGGTCCAGGACGGACCGAAACGTCGTCGTCCCTTCACCTTCTAGTGTGTGGTCTGGTCAACATCTGAGTATACATTCTCAGGGTATTACACACACGCCTACAGCTGGCTGGACTCCCATATACTGCCTCTTATAAACTGCGAGAGAAAGCTCTTTTTCTGCAACTTCAAGAAAATATCCCTAAATGCTACTGATTTACTGCCACATGAGGGGCTCAGTGTTAGTCAATCACTAGGTCTAGTCCGGGGGATTACAACTAATTATAAGACAATTACAAGTCAAAATAGGCGTACATACAGCTCGGTAATGGATGGCAAATCCATACAAGCAGCAATTTGTGTATAATAGGAAAGGATTAGTTAGATCATTAGTAATACCAAACAGGTGTTAATTAGCATATCAACGATAGGGGGGAATATAATTCATAAACTACTAATTATTCCATGGGATCAATTATGGGTCAAAATGTACATAGAGAGATGAGAGTAAATGATTCGCATACCAGTAAAATAGTGCAAGTTAATGCTACAGATGAAATCCTGCATATATATATATATATATATATATATATATATATATATATATATATATAATTAGTATATGAGAACGCATAGAGCCATTAATAACGCTGACTAATAACACCGTAGAGATGCTGTCAAAGACGGTATGGTCCCATCAGAGACCAAAACAGAAGAGAGAGAGAAAGACCTATAAGAATGGCAACCATTCTTGAGTCAAATGACTCAACTTTCAACACAACAAATACGATTAGAATAACGTGTCAGTCCTGTACACTACTGCGGCAGCAAAGGTAAACAAAGAAAAAAAGAAAACGAAAAGAAAACCTTAAGAGGGGAAACTGTGAATTTCTGTAACCTGGGTGAGGCGCCCGCGCCGGTGGCAGGCCTCCTGGCTTTCCGGGCGGACGGCTCAAGACTGATGGTAATGGCGCGGTCCTGGGGCGTCGCGCACCTGCTGGAGAGAGACGGGAGGGAGGCAGGGGTAGAGGGTCATGAATGGAGGAAATGAGGGAGGGGGAGGAAGGAAGGAGGTGAGAGGAAGAGAAGAATCAGGTAAAGTGTGAAAATAATGGGGATGGTAGATGCATGCAATGTTAAGTAGAGGACAGGATAAAAGTGGGAGAGGGAGAGAGGGAGAGAGAGAGAGGGAGAGAGGGAGAGAGGGAGAGAGGGAGAGAGGGAGAGAGGGAGAGAGAGAGAGAGAGAGAGAGAGAGAGAGAGAGAGAGAGAGAGAGAGAGAGAGAGAGAGAGAGAGAGAGAGAGAGAGAGAGAGAGAGAGAGAGAGAGAGAGAGAGAGAGAGAGAGAGAGAGAGAGAGAGAGAGAGAGAGAGAGAGAGAGAGAGAGAGAGAGAGAGAGAGAGAGAGAGAGAGAGAGAGAGAAAGACAGACAGACAGAGAGACAGAGAGGATAAAAATTTAGACATTACAAATGACATACATAAAGCAGAATAAAGATAAAATAAGAGGAGAAGAATCAAGGTGATGAATGACAAAGCCAAAGAAAAAATAAACAATGAAAATGGCAGGGAAGGCCAAAGAGAAGGATATGGGAGAGGAGGAGGAGGAGGAGGAGGAGGAGGAGGAGGAGGATAAAGCAAAGAAAGAGAAAAAAAAGAAAGAGAATCAGAGCATTAGAGTCGGAATCTGTAAGAACATGGAACAAATTCTGTGTGGCAGAGAATCATTATGTAAGCTCGGATACAAGTCTAAATACACACGAGTCCTGTTGTCAGACCCGGGGTGCGCTACAAGCTGTCAAGTGTGCGCTGTGCGGCGGTCAAGTGTGTGCTATGCGGCGGTCAAGTGTGTGCTGTGCGGCGGTCAGACCCCTGGGCAACCAGGGCGAGTATGTCTATCTTACTGACCAGTGGTGAGGGGAGTATGTCTATCATACTGAGCAGTGGTGAGGGATATATGTCTATCTTACTGAGCAGTGGTGAGGGGAGTATGTCTATCTTACTGAGCAGTGGTGAGTGGTATATGTCTATCTTACTGAGCAGTGGTGAGGGGAATATGTCAATCTTACTGAGCAGTGGTAAAGGGAGTTTCTATATCTTACTGAGCAGTGGTAAAGGGAATTTCTATATCTTACTGAGCAGTGGTAAAGGGAATTTCTATATCTTACTGAGCAGTGGTAAAGGGAATTTCTATATCTTACTGAGCAGTGGTCAAAGTGGGAGACAAGATAAAGCGAAGTAACTGCCAAGATTCTTTTTTTAAAAAAGTTGCAAAAGTTCTATTAAAAGTTTAAGGGATGCTTAGAAAGTAGCAACAACTTGGTAAAAATAAAAAAAAGTTGGGCAAGTATATCTTTTAAGTAGCAAAAACTTTATAATATATATATATATATATATATATATATATATATATATATATATATATATATATATATATATATATATATATATATATTCTTAGGTGCTAAAAAGAGAGGGCAATGTTGCTGAGTGTGTGCTCACGTCAAGAGAGAGAGTGAGACACATACACAACAAGTCTACACAAAAGAGATGTATCTGAGAAGAGAACAGCCGTGCAGTGGGGTGCGTATAGACTATATTGTAGCCACTTACCAACACACTAACTCACCGCTACAGTGGCAGTGCTCAAAAAAAATACCACTTTTAGGTCAGTCGGGGCTTAAACACACACAAACACCTCCTACACAAAAACTCACGAGACTAAGGTCGTGTTTGGGTATATATATATATATATATATATATATATATATATATATATATATATATATATGATATGGCTACTACGTCTACTGTTTTTTTAATAATACACATGTAAATAAGAAAGAGAATCACATAATAACATAAACACACATTATAAGCTATTCCCTACAACATGAGCTCTTATTACATTATTTATTTGTATACTTCAATTCACTAAACCAATAAGTTCTACAAAAAATTATTATTATAGTATTAAAACAATTCTGAACTATTAAAGTTGTTGAGATCTTCTGAGGCTGTTCCCAAGTTAGAGATATACTCGATCATTGTTCTTAAGAACCCTTTGTTTACAGGTTCTTGGGGGGAGATTCCTGGAACAGCACCACCAGCACCTCCCGTGAAGGGGTCTTGGATGAATTAAGGTAAAGGGATTGAGGCTTGTGCATGAATGGTCGAGCTTCAGCTCTTGTTCCCCTTGCCTTTCCAGCAGCAGGTAGTCTAATGCAATGACTCCCGATTGACATTATTTCTATCATATCTACTTTTGAAATTATGTTTGGTGGATATTATCTCCTCTAGTTCATTCCCATCCCCCACAAATCATATAATAAAGGAGTGTATATATATATTTATATCTTCATGAGTCATCTGTGTCTAGTTTTCCTAAGCTCATTGTCCTCTTGTTGTTTGGTGTTGTTGTTGTTTGTTCTTAAGTAAGTTCTTTGTGTTCGTAGTTCAATCTGGGTCGTCTGTTTAGCAAGTGTTCGTAGTTCTATGTGGACCGTCTGTTTAACGGTGCTCGATAGACAGACATTATGACTATTTTCTCTCCTGTTATGACTCCCGAAGCATTGTGTGTGTGTGTGTGTGTGTGTGTGTGTGTGTGTGTGTGTGTGTGTGTGTGTGTGTGTGTGTGTGTGTGTGTGTGTGTGTGTGTGTTTACCTTCCAATATGAAGTGTCTTAACTGTAGCAAAATTGTTGTGAGTGCTGCTGATCCTCTGCTGTCTGTTCTTCCTGTTGCTGGTCATTGGCACAGCACTTCACTGGCACAGCACTTCACTGCCACAGCACTTCACTGGCACAGCACTTCACTGGCACAGCACTTCTTGCAGAACATTGCATCATTCCCTTGGGCTCTGTCTCCATCTTTGCTACTGTGTGTGTGTGTCACTTCCTGGGTGTTCATACCTTTATATACAACATTTACTTTTGTTGTAATTGAGCTCATGGGCTCTGGTTATCAGCTAATGGTTGTCTGATGTCTTGCGACCCTCATATCTTGGTCATATCTGCTTTTGACATTGTGAGTTGAGATAGTTTCCCCCTACTCCTCCCTCTTCTACCTCACTAAAATAGCTTGCTACTCATTCTTGGGAGACTTCCTCAAACACGACCAGTCAGTGGAGTGATTCTGTGACTGGCCTGAAGTGGTGGTCATCTCTGGAGTTATTTATAATTTCCAAATGGAGAACTGTGCTCCTTTCAGGAAGGTCTTATTCCTTGATCTTATGGCTTCTAATCTCCTTCACATCACTGGGCTTGCTACTCACCCAGGGTTTAGGTACTGGGAGAGGGTTTAGGTACTGGGGGGTGGGTCTAGGTACTGGGAGAGGGTTTAGGTACTGGGGGGTGGGTCTAGGTACGGGCTGAGGAATATTTGGTGGGGGTTACTAAAGAGGTGAGGCTGTTCTAATCACCATCCGATAGGTAAGGTCATGTTCCTGGGCCCCACCTGTGGTGTGGAGGTCGCGGCCTAGCCTCGAGTAACCCAGCAACACACCTGGTCCAGGAACACACCTGGCTCCAGCACATGCCACATCAATGTTTCTCTCACTTCACACCTTACTTCGAACGCCTAACTGGAGCTTTTCAGCATATTTGCATACGTGAAACTTAATATAAATAGGAAGGAAGAGATTGAGATGTTAGAAAGGTGTGAAGGAGAGAGAGAGAGAGAGAGAGAGAGAGAGAGAGAGAGAGAGAGAGAGAGAGAGAGAGAGAGAGAGAGAGAGAGAGAGAGAGAGAGAGAGAGAGAGAGAGAGAGAGAGAGAGAGAGAGAGAGAGAGAGAGAGAGAGAGAGAGAGAGAGAGAGAGAGAGAGAGAGAGAGAGAGAGAGAGAGACATACGCACTTGGCCTCGTCGACATAGATGGAGTCGAGGACATCGGCAGCGTACTGAAGGTTCTGCTGGAGCACCGCCGCAGCCACCTCCCCCTCCTGTAGGTGTCGCAGAAGACTCCGTAACCTGCGGACACAACACTCACGTCACACCCTACACACCACTGTGTCACATCACACCGGGATGTGGTCGTGAACAATGTCACAGTATCAGACCAAGTAGGATGGATTAAGACAGGAATTTCCTTAACTACTTTCGTATCTAATAATACATCATCTTTCTGATATATGGAGAATGCTAAACCCTAGTTATTTATACATGTAAGGAGATTAAAAGTCACATAATTGTCTTTCACATAGTAACGTTGAGGCTTTATCATAGTGGATCTTCTCAATAGGATCTAAGTACTTATAAGTTCAGGCGGAGAGTGCTTGAGAATATACTGACAAGGTCCTCAGTCCAACAGGACACAACCGGTGTCGTTCTGGTATTGTGAACCACAAGCTAATGAGGACACGTCCGACGCAGAATTTGTCTGGCGAAGGACACGTCCGACGCATAATTTGTCTGACGAAGGACACGTCCGACGCAGAATTTGTCTGGCGAAGGACACGTCCGACGCAGAATTTGTCTGGCGAAGGACACGTCCGACGCAGAATTTGTCTGGCGAAGGACACGTCCGACGCAGAATTTGTCTGACGAAGGACACGTCCGACGCAGAATTTGTCTGACGAAGGACACGTCCGACGCAGAATTTGTCTGACGAAGGACACGTCCGACGCAGAATTTGTCTGACGAAGAACACGTCCGACGCAGAATTTGTCTGACGAAGGACACGTCCGACGCAGAATTTGTCTGACGAAGGACACGTCCGACGCAGAATTTGTCTGACGAAGGACACGTCCGACGCAGAATTTGTCTGGCGAAGAACACGTCCGACGCAGAATTTGTCTGGCGAAGAACACGTCCGACGCAGAATTTGTCTGACGAAGAACACGTCCGACGCAGAATTTGTCTGACGAAGAACATGCCGGGCAGAGAGCGGCGCCCTAGACGGGGCGGAAGACCTACCAAGGATAGGACCATTCTAACTGACCCCCGACACATACCGACGACGGAGAACGTACCTGAGCGCTGCCTTCTCGCAGGATTCTGGGGTGTCGACGGCGGGCAGGGCGTCATGGAGAAGGTCGATAGCGTCGAGCGTATCATTGTCGGCCTCGGACGACAGCCGCGTCGACCGTCCTCCATGACTGCGGCTGTTGGTCCTGCGCAGAATGGTAAGCGAACCTTGTTCTGTGGGGATACGGAGAGACAGCCGTCACCAGGGGGCGCCTCAGAGTTTGGACAGTCGAAACATTCACAGTGACTCTTGCTGTTTAGACGGGGATACGGAGAGACAGCCGTCACCAGGGGGCGCCTCAGAGTTTGGACAGTCGAAACATTCACAGTGACTCTTGGTGTTTAGACGGGTACTAAGTACTAAGTACTAAGTAGGGTTTAGTACTAGGAACCCTTCCTGTTGTCTCTGGCACTGCTACAAGAGGCGGGGTTAGAAGAGAATAGCAGGAAGCAGAAAGAAAGCAGAAATAGAAAGAAAGCTACGCTTCTGATCTGATGGGATGCTCCCGGACGCAGGTTCGAATCCTCGTCACGGCCCTTGTGGATTTGTTCATTTACGCTTCTGATAGTTCCCTTCTTCTACACTTATCATGCTTACACTTCCGCCACGAGTACGAATGATCCCCAAATAATAATGATCACGAAAATATAATACACATATATGTAAATTTAAAATGTAGCGTAATTAGATTACCACAATCAACAACTACTACACCAACTGATGATTTAGCCACCCCAAGAGGTGGCATGGGCATGAATAGCCCGTGAAATAAATACACCATCACAATAGGCTACATATAGTCCCTTGCACCTCACCAAATTTATCGTGCTCTGGTATTTCAGGTAATTAGATAATTATCAGGAGAAAGCGCTAAGCCTATATAGCACACGGAAGAGAAATGACGACTCGATGGACCGTGAGGGATCGAACGCAGACCTGCAAAAAGCGAAGTCATATTCTGAGAAATATCAAGAGAGAGATAATGTCACATATATATTTTGCTTATATAAAAATGAAGTGATGATTTAATTTAGTATTGCATCAATAGTTACACGATAGTCATAAAAGTGTTTCATAAAACAACTCTACTGCATTTGAAACACTGAAACAATAATTTATCGTTTTTTCTAATACAGCATGATCACAAAATCCCAGAAATCCCAGCCACGGGTTGGTCTGAACCACAACAACCTCGCTTTCAGGTCTGAGTTCGATTCCCCAATCATCCAAGTGGTTGGACATCGTATTTTCACTGTGTCCCCCACAGGACAGAAGGGAGTACACCCCCCACAGATCTCACTCACATAACCTCAGGACAATCTTCACATTAAGAGCCAAGAGTAATAGAGGGACATACTTGAGAGCTGACCATTAAGAGCCAGAGTAATATAAGGACATACTTGAGAGCTGACCATTAAGAGCCAAAAGTAGTATAGGGACATACTTGAGAGCTGACCATTAAGAGCCAAGAGTAATATAAGGACATACTTGAGAGCTGACCATTAAGAGCCAAGAGTAATATAGGGACATACTTGAGAGCTGACCATTAAGAGCCAAGAGTAATATAGGGACATACTTGAGAGCTGACCATTCTTGCTGGTAGGAGGCGGGGGCGGAGCAGCCTCATCCTGGCCATCTTTCTTCTTCTCCGGAGGACTGGCAACTGTATCAACAAATATAAGTGTTAAGTTATATTCGTATTCCTTTCTACTTTAATACAATATCTATAAAGTCATTTTGTATATATTTAACACTATATCTCTAGTTAAATATCTCTAGAAATATCTCTAGTTAAAAATATCCGCCGTCTGTGGGTAAAGAATGACTGCCATTTAGAAGTAGCGTTTGTAATTCTGGTCATGTAATCAACCTATAAATTAGTACATCATAACAAATGTAATTGAAAAAAAAAATGCAAGTGACAGAACACGAATTAATCACTTCACAAAAAACTTTTGTGCCATATCACCTCACCCAAAACTTTTGTGCCATATCACCTCACCCAAAACTTTTGTGCCATATCACCTCACCCAAAACTTTTGTGCCATATCACTTCACCCAAAACGTTTGTGCCATATCACCTCACCCAAAACGTTTGTGCCATATCACCTCACCCAAAACAAGTATAAGTATGATGTGTGTTATGTGTAAAATAGTCTTTGAAAATGTAAGAAGTTTACGAATCGCGTTCAGGCGTCAGACCAAAAATAAAAATGTAAAAAATGAATTTTGGAGAGTTAATTTTTCAATTACCCTCGACAGTGAAGAAACACGTGTAAATGTGTGTGTAAAGTTATTTTATTTGGGGGGGGGGGCACTTTCCATCCACTGGTTACAGTTGATGGAGACAAAAGGGAGGGCGGCGCATGGCATGTACATACAAGTGAAATGGGATGCCACACGGACACACAAAAAGGGAGAGAATGGGGGGAAGGTAGAGAAGGGGAGACACTTGAAAGGTGAGAAGAGCCTGGAAATTCATCACTGTCACTTTGACATCTGGCGTCTGTCTCTGTCTCTGTCTCTGTCTCTGTCTCTGTCTCTCTCTCTCTCTCTCTCTCTCTCTCTCTCTCTCTCTCTCTCTAACTAAGGCTAGGGTTCATAAGGGCTGTCAATTAAAGTATTTGGGGAAAGTGCAAGCAAGAGCTGTTATCCTACTTAAGCTCATCTGAAGCCTGTTCCTACTCATTTATTTCATGAGAATACACTTTCAAACTATCACATAGGGAACTATCAAGTAAGGAACCTGGTTAAACTGCAAGCAAGAGCTGAGCAGGATGAGCCTGTAGCCAACTGTGTGCCAGAGAACAAATCCACAAGGGGCGTGACGAGGATTCGAACCTGCGTCCGGGAGCATCCCAGACGCTGCCTTAATCACGTTATGATGATTTCTGTTTGATGCATCACGTTATTGTGATTTCTGTGTGTGTGTGCCAGAGCCTTCATGTGATCAGTTGACCTGATCTCCCGTATACCAACCTGTTGAGTGAACAAGTTCCTGATGCCAGTCAGCCTAGGAGTGATCGCTGATTGAGTGATGTTTTTGAGAATGGCACTTCCAGCATGAGACTGTTGAAGTTTGAGCGCCTAGTTGATACGGGTGGCAACTACTTGTTGTCCACGGAGTTTGGCCAGGTGCGGTACTTTGAGAATGTTGGCCTTGTACATAACAGTAAGACCATCAACATCACGACGGTGTTGCAGGCCGTTCAGACCGTTCCCACCAGACCTAGTCAAGACTAGACAGAGACGCTCTCTTTCTCCCTAGTCCTGGTCCCACACCTTGCGTCCAAGCTATCTTTGCATATTATGTAATTGGTCTGACGTATGTGGCACACACGGTTATGAACAACCCGCTGATTAGACTCTAAATGTGGATCTAATGTTATCAAACGGTGTATAAACAGACGATATCTAATTGATCTGAGGGACGGAGTCTTGTGGTAAGGAATAATCATCTAGATGTCTTTACAGGGTCAAGCAACAGGTCAGTCAAGCAATAGCTTCATAACAATGCTGTTTCATCTCCTGGTTTGTTAAAACAAAATGTGTCATTCTTCACGTTCTTCGTCGTATGTAATGCAACCCACAATAGTTGTTTAACTCCCAGGTTTACCAATTTGTGTTTAAGTGAACAGAATTCAGGTGAAAGAAAATGTTGCCCAAACGCTTCTCTCTCTTGCCGTGGAAATTGAACCCGCTCTTCTCGGTTGTGAACAAAAGGCGTGGCCACACTGTGTGTGTGTGTGTGTGTGTGTGTGTGTGTGTGTGTGTGTGTGTGTGTGTGTGTGTGTGTGTGTGTGTGTGTGTGTGTGTGTGTGTGTGTGCTCAGTCATCCTTACCAACTTTATTTCAAAACTGTCAACCGCAAAGAAAACGGGAGTTTCTAAATACAGTTTTATTTAATGTGTGATAAAGAGAGAGAAAGAGCAAGATTGGGAGACAGAGAAATAATGGAGCACCTCCACCCTGGGACAGGCAGACAGGCAGACAGGCGAGCCCCGAGGTTACCCACACTATACCACGAGAACATCCGAACAGTGAACTATAAAAGAGGGGAAACTTTAATTAAAATCAATCTAGTGATTGCTGCCTTTCACAGTTCCCCCTTCCATCCTCTCACCTTACCTATCCTCCCTCCCATCCTGAAAGCCGAGGGCCAATCACTAGCCACAAGGCTCATGATTCCCATTTCCCTATTCAGAATTTGCACATACCTATTCCCCCCTCGCTTCCCCACCTCCGCTTTTTCCTTCTACTCCTTTATTGTATTATCATTCACTGTTCATTATCATGTCTCCTCTTATCTCTTCCCCCATCCCACTCCTTCCCCTCATCCCTTTGTCCTCCTTCTTTACCTGTTGCTGACACCAGCCAATCAAACCAATTGCCTGTGAGATTAACCACTGAGAGCCTTATATACAGCTGCTGGCGCGCTTCTGGGATAATTATTCGACCATGAATAACGAGAGAGGGAGAGAGAGAGAGGGGCAGGAAGCCTACATACATGATGCTGACATTTTAATAGAGAATGAGAGATGTGGAGATGAGCCTAAGGGATGCACACCTGTGCCATGGTAGTGAGTCCTGCAGGTGTGTCAGCTGCAGGTGTAGAAGACGGGACCAGAAGGAGAATTAAGGAAGAAAAATTAAGGGGGGGAGATGGTGGTTGTAATATCCATGTGCTGGTATTTACTATTTGTGCCTGCAGGATTGAGCTGTTAGCTCTTGGACCAGTGTGTGTGTGTGTGTGTGTGTGTGTGTGTGTGTGTGTGTGTGTGTGTGTGTGTGTGTGTGTGTGTGTGTGTGTGTGTGTGTGTGCGTACGTGTGTGCGTACGTGTGTCCGTGCGTGTGCGTGAATTTAATTTAGCTATACTTATTTGTTTTCAGTGAATTTCTCCACATCAAAATGTTTCCAGAACCTATCACCGGAGGGCTACATGGCCCGAAAATACTAGCAGGGTTATATTGCATTAGTCAGTGCTGTCGGTTCCAAACAACTCAAGACTCGTTTGGGTACATTTTCGTGCACCTGGTGCCTCTGTTCACCTAGCAACAAATGTGAACGCAGGAGTTAAGGGAATGTTGCATCTTAGGGTCAATAGTTTTTTTTCAAGAGACCTCTCGATAAACCTCGTTAGTCAAGGACTAATGAGTGATATATAGTCGTAATGGCTTGGCGCTTTCCCCCTGATAATTCCCTAATCCCCATTTTATAATAGATAATATATTATTTTTATAATATATTATACAATCTGCTGCGCCTTCTGGCCCCGAAATAAATTATATACAGATTTAGAACAATTTTCAGCAATAATTTCCAAATTTGGAGCATCTCTTGCCTGCGCTTCAGGGGCCAGATTCACGAAGCAGTTACGCAAGCCCTTACGAACGTGTACATCTTTCCGCTATCATTGACGGCTTTGTTTACAATTATTAAACAGTTAATGAGCTCCGAAGCACCAGGAGGCTGTTTATAACAATAACAACAGTTAATTGGCACGTTTCCATGCTTGTAAACTGTTTAATAAATGTAACCAAAGGCGTCAATGATTGAGGAAAGATGTACACGCCTGGTGGACCAAACTCTCACAAGTCAAGTCTGGCCTCGGGCCGAGCTTGGGCAGTAGAAGAACTCCCAGAACCCCATCAACCAGGTATATGTGGGCCTGCGGGCCGCTCCAAGCAACAGCCTGGTGGACCAAACTCTCACAAGTCAAGTCTGGCCTCGGGCCGGGCTTGGGCAATAGAAGAACTCCCAGAACCCCATCAACCAGGTATATGTGGGCCTGCGGGCCGCTCCAAGCAACAGCCTGGTGGACCAAACTCTCACAAGTCAAGTCTGGCCTCGGGCCGGGCTTGGGGAGTAGAAGAACTCCCACAACCCCATCAACCAGGTATCAACCAGGTAACTCGTTCGTAAGTACTTGCGTAACTGCTTCGTGAATCTGCCCCCAGGGAGGAATTCTGAAAATTTTTAAGCAGTGGCGATAATATAGATGTTTATTGAAGGTATACTATGGCCGTTATATATATGGCTCCGGAATGTGTGGTTGTGGTTGGAATTTTTAACGGTACTGACAGCATTGGCTTGGTTTCGTTCGCCCAATCGCTTTAATATGAAATGTTGACAATGTCTGTCATCATAGTTTATCTCAATGGCTACGTAGTCTTGCGTGGAGACATTTGCAAGATTTGCAACGAGATTTTCCTGTGTTGTAAATGATTTTGCGTTTCTTCTGATACAAAAATAAAAAAAATACAGTATAGAGAATTTCTGCACATATTCTGTTAGTGGACAAATTATCACCAATACTAAGAGTTTTTTGAACCAATGACTTTGCTCTTACACAACTTGCTTGTGTAAGAATATTTAATATAATATTGTAATGAATGGTACTTTCTTGACCCATTTTTTTATTAATTTAAACAAAATCAATAAGAGGATTATTTAGGCAAGAATTCCCACTGGGCATTGTTTAATATAAGGGACATGAACTGGGCCCAGATAATCTCCCACACTTTGTCCCAGCACATCCTCTCTGTGTCCCAGCACCTTCCCTCTCACTATCCCAGCACCTTCCCTCTCACTATCCCAGCACCTCCTCTCTCACTATACCAGCACCTCCTCTCTCACTATCCCAGCACCTCCCCTCTCACTA